TCCTCCCTCCTCCCTAAATTGTGCAATCAAAAATGTCTCCAGAGCCCTGGCAGGTGTGGCTCGGTTGGTTGGAGTGTCCTCCTGTACACCAAAAGGTGGTGGGTTCTGTTCCCTGTCGGGCACATAACCAGGTTGAGGTTCCATCCCTGGTCAGGGTGTGCGGGAGGCCAACATTCGATGTTTCTCTTTAACGTCTGTGTTTTTTTCGCTCTCTTTTTCTCTTTCTCCCTTCCTCTCTATCAAATCAATTTTTAAAAATGTCTCCAGACATTGCCAAATGACCCCCGAGAAACAAGATTGCCCCTGATTGATCACCGCTGTCTTATAACACAAGATGTCAGCATTTCATTATTATTCAGCAGATCAGAGCAACTCTCCTTCGGCCCTACGTCATATTTCACTTAAGAATAAGACAAGAAAGAACACACAGGACTAACATTTATTGAGTGCCTACTATGTGCCAGCCAAACCAGCTGGGGCTGTAATTCATTCTTTCAAGAATATTTATTGAGTGCTTGCTTTAAATATGCCGGAGCCCAAGCCTCCACAGACAATTTAGTCAAACTCTCTGGGGGCGAGACCCCGGCATCAGGATTTTTTGAAGCTCCCAGGAGTCTCCAGGGTGCAGGCAAGTTTGGGAACCGCTAATACGTGCCTCTTAAAACACACACATGTTTTCATTGATTTCAGAGAGAGGAAGGGAGAGGGAGAGAGAGAGAGATAGAAAAATGGATCAGCTGCCTTCTGCATGCCCGCCCCCCCCCCCCCACACACACACACATGGGATCAAGCCCAAACAGGGGCATGTGCCCAGAGCGGGAATTGAACCGGTGACTCCTGGTGCGTGGGGTAACGCTCAAGCAACTAAGCCATACCAGCCGGGCAATACCTGCCTCTTCTTAAAACTCCTTTGGTGCCCTGGCAGGTGTGGCTCAGTTGGTTGAGCATCATCCCACGCATGGGAAGGTCGCTGGTTAGATTTCCCAGCCCAGGCTGTGGGTTCTGTCCCTGGTTGGGGTGTGCACGGGAGGCAGCCAGTTAATGTTTCTCTCTCACATCGATGTTTCTCTCCTCCCTTCCTCTCTAAAATTAATAAAAAACATTTCTTAAAAGACCACTCCTTTGCTGATTTTAGTAGGCAGGATTGAGAATCACTAGTTTAATGATTTCAAACCAAGCATGCATCCAAATCATCCTGAGGCCTTGTTGGAACTCAGATGCAATCTCCACCCCCAGGTGGGGCCTGAGAGTTCGCGCTTCTAATCAGTTCCCAGGTGATGCTGCTGCTCTGGGGGCTGGCCAGGCAATACCTGCCTCTTTTTTTTGTTTTGTTTTGTTTTGTTTTGTTTTCGATGCAAAAGCATAAGAGTCTTTATTCGAGCTAGCTCGGCTCCCCCACCTCGCCAACGCAGCGGCAGGAAGCCTACCTGCCTCTTTTTAAAACGCCTTTGGTGCCCTGGCAGGTGTGGCTCACTTGGGGGCCACAGCTGGAGAAGCCCTGCTGTGATGGGACTGGGGTTCTCTGGTCTCAGTGGGAGGAATGGGATCCAGGAATTGCAGAGCTGGACGCCTTTTTAAACAGAGGCAGGGACAGCTGTCCTAAGATGCTGCAGGGCTGCAGTGTTCTGACTGGCGGGGCCTGTGGTTAGAATCACGGGGTCCCTGGAACTGAAATAGATGGGGTGCTGACTGAGGTGCTACTTGGCATGTACAGAGGGGTCACGGGAGGTCACGGAACTGCTTCCGAGGACTGGCACCTGTGAAGGTGATTGTAGGGTGAGCGGAGGGATGCTTGTGGTCAGGACCTGGAGGCATTGGGATGGGCTCTGGTGTAGGAGAATCTTCAGCCAGTAGGTTGGGCAGGACATGGAGGGTGGTTAGTGACCTGTTTCATGGTGGTTCAAGGACAGAACTCGGATTAGGAATTGGCCGTGTCTTGAGTTTTATCCCAAGGCTTCCACAGCCGGGGTTCCAATAATAATAGGACTAAATAGCATGTTCTATAGCTTATTTCTCTGGGACCATTTATTGTGGTAGTGTTGTGCCACTGTTGCACAGTGCCTGGATGTAATACTGAGCAAGGGCCAGTTCTTGCCCCAGGGTGCTCTGGGCCACATGGGAAAGACAGACAAAAACAAGTAAATAGAAAATAATTCCAAACCCCTAGAACTAATACGTGAATACAGTAAGGTTGCAGGACATAAGAGTAACACATAAAAATCAATTGCATTTCTATATACTCAAAATGAACATGTGGAAATGAAGTTAAAAACACAATACCGTTTAAAATTGCTTCCAAGAAAATGAAATACTTAGGTCTGCCTCTAACAAAACAGATATAAGATCTGTATACTGAAAATTAAAAATTGCTGATGAGCCCTGGCCAGGTGGTTTAGTTGGTTTGAGCATCGTCCCAATGCACCAAGGTTGTGGGTTCGATCCTCAGTCAGGGCACATACTTGAATCAACCAGTGAATACATAAATAAGAGGCACAGCAAATTGATGTTTCTCTCTCTCTTTTTGTCTTTCTTCCCTTTCTCCCCCTCCCTCCCTCTCAAAATTAATCAATTGTATTTTTTTAAATTGCTGATAAAAGAAATCAAAGAGAACCCAAATAAATAAGGGACATATTGTATTTGTGGATTGGGAGACTGAACATAGCAAAGATATCAATTCTTCCCAAAATGATTTATAGATTTAATGCAGTTCCTACCAAAAATCCCAGCAAGGTTATCTGTAGAAATAGGCTTATTCTAATAATTTGATGGAAGAGCCAATGGCCTAGAACAGCTAAAACAATTTTGAAAAAGAAGAATAAAGTTGGAGGAACCATTCTAGCAAATGTTAAAGCTTACTATATAGCCGCAGTAATCAAGACAAATGTGGTATTGGCAAAGAGATAGGCATACAGATCAATGGAGCGGAATAGAGAACCCAGAAATAGACCCCAGATATGTCCGACTGATTTTTGACTAAGATGCAAAAACATTTCAGTGGAGGAGGAAAATAGCCTTTTGAACAAATGGTGTTGGAGCTATTGAACATCACAGGTAATAAATAAATAAACCTAAAATTGAAAATGGATCATGGACTTAAATGTGAAACTTAAAACTATCCATCTTTTAGAACAAAACAGGAGAAAATCTTTGGGAACTAGGCATATAGTTCTTAGACTTGACATGAAAGTATGAGCAATAAAAAAATTGATAATACGTTTTTTTAAAAAGTCAAAATGAAAAACTGATCAAAATTTAAAACTTCCTCTGCAAAAGAGGATGAAAAGGTGATCTATAAAGTGGGGAAAATATTTTAAAGCCACATACTCAACAAGGGACTTGCACCTAGAATACATAAAGAATTCTTAAACCTCAACAGAAACACAAACAGTCCAATTAGAAAATGGGCAAAAGACATGAACAGATACTTGACCAAAGAGGGCATACAGGTGACAAATAATCACATAAAAGAATGTTCGACATCATTGTTCATTAGGGAAATGTAAATTAAAACACACTGAGATATGACTACACACTTAGCAGAATGATTAAAGTAAGAATGGTGAGCGCTGGCTGGTTTTGCTCAGTTGTTAGAGCAAACTGTGACCCCCTGGTTCATAGGTTGACACTCAACCACTGAGCCATGCCGGCCTGGCTGGAGAGATGATTTTTAAGCTGCGAGCGAAAGGATGAGGAGGGCTCACGGAGGAACATTTAGCCATGCCCTTTCCCCGAAGGAAACTCTTCCTAGAGAAACCTCCTGGCCAGAGACATTGAGAACATCTCCGGACAGAACCAGTGCTAGGAAGGAATGTCTTGCTTTTCTTCTTGGCTACTAATTCCCTCCCTACTCCCTAGTACCCTGGGTTGATCCTCTTCCTTCCTCTTCTGCCATCAGCCTAGACAAACTGCTCGATGCTGGTCTCTATACTGGAGAAGTGACTGAGATCGTAGGAGTCCCAGGTAGCGGCAAAACCCAGGTAACACATACAGCTAGAAGCCAGAGGATTGGGAGAGGTGGGTGCATGATCCTGGATCCCCAGGGAAGCTTCTGCCAGTAGATTGTGACTCAGAGCTTGGAAGAGAGAAGATGGGTGGTGAGGAGTGGGCCTTGAACTTGACCCATTCATGTCACTGGGATCTGAATAGATTTGATGCAGAGCTCCCATCCTGGGCAATCTTTGAGGGCTCAAGTTCACCCAATGCCCGGTCTTTACTCAGGTATGTCTTTGTGTGGCTGCAAATGTGGCCCATGGCCTGCAGCAGAACGTCCTATACGTTGATTCCAATGGAGGGCTGACAGCCTCCCGCATCCTCCAGCTACTTCAGGCCAGAACCCCAGATGAGGAAGAGCAGGTAAGGGGTAGGACTGCTGGATTCCTTTAAAGCCGTGACACAGAGACCCCGTGATCCCTTACATTATAAGGATCTTAGCCACTTGGAGTTGTCCTTTCTGGCTTTGAAACTTGCTGTTCTATGAATACTTCCTGTATTCTTCCAGTCTCCCTGTTGTAACATCATCCCAACTTGGATGCTGTTCACACACGATCCCCCCAGCTCCTTGCATACCTTAATTCAGGGCTGGCAAATACCCAGCGTCTGTGTTCCTATCCCATTTCTTGCCCGGGGCAGACACCACCGTCAGTCTTATCACTCTTTCCCACTGTGCTCTGACTTAGCTTTGCAGCTCAGCACCCAGGCAGCCACCACTGTGAGAACTGCCCCGTTAGACAAAGCGTACTTGCCGTCCTGGGCCTGAGTCCTTATATCCTGCTCAGCCTTAAAACCCCCCTTCGTCTTGCTGGACCCTGCTCCCTCTTATCCAAAGCCCCCCTCCTCTTTCCCACCCCTTCAGGCAGGAGCCCTCCAGAGGATCCAGGTGGTGCGTGCCTTTGACATCTTCCAGATGCTGGATGTGCTGCAGGGCCTCCGAGGTGCTGTGGCCCAGCAGGTGAGTCTGCTGTTCTGCTCCTCCCAGCTTCACCCAGCTGGCCGGGTGCTGTCTATATGTGGGCAGGTGTCCCACTACAGACTCTCTGGAAATGCAGATGTGCAATCTGGTGACTCCAGCTGGTCTTGCCACTCCCAGGATGGGATGCTGAGTGCTTCATTCATTCCTGAGTGCCTCATGGTGTACACACTCCTCTTCCCCACTAAACAGTAAGCCCCTTGAGTGCCAGGATCATGTCATACTCATCTCTGCATTCCTCCGATGGATCCGTTTTCAGCTGCACGTAAAAGAGCATGACTGACAGATACTTAAACTTTGAGGACATTTAATTATCTCACATGAGTCTGCAGGTTGGCAGGGCCACATTATTAGGGCTTGAGGCTGGTGTGTGTGATTCTCTTGCTCTTTCCCCTTGTGATTGCAAAGTGGCTGCTATTGATCTAAGCCTCATATATTTTTTAAAAATAATATATTTTTTATTGATTTCAGAGAGGAAGGGAGAGGGAGAGAGAGATAGAAATATCAATGATGAGAGAGAATCATTGATTGGTTGCCTCCTGCACACCCCACACTGGGGATTGTGCTCAAAACCTTGGGCATGTGCCCTGACTGGGAATCAAACCATGATCTCCTGGTTCATAGGTTGACGCTCAACTACTGAGCCACACTGGCCGGGCTAAGCCTCATATTTTTATACATCACATCCACATTCAGGGCAGTGAAAGGAGATGCCTCTTTTTTTTGTACTTCCCCTTTTATGAGGGAAGAAAATCTCCGAAACCCGCTAGCAGGCTGCCCATTTCCCCTTGCATCTAATTGGCCAAAACTGAGTTATATGTGTATCTTAGACCAGGGGTTGGGCCCACCTTCCCTGATGTCGGAAGATCTGTGTCCAGGACCCGACCACATTTGGAGTTGTGTTAACAAGCAAGAGGGGTTCGGAATGGCATTTGGGTTGGTTCCCTGCAAACCTGCAAAGTCTTTAGACAGGATTTGGTGCACTGATTTATAGACTATTAGATTTGGAAGACACCTTAGAATCGTTTAATTCATCTTAAATGTTTTCCTTCACCCCAAAGCATGACATGTTCCTATGGGCATACCCAGGATTGTATATCATTTTTACAAACTTTAGAACATAAAATAGTTGAACAACTACTTGCCAGGGGCTGACCCTACAGAACAGGACTCACTTCAGTGGGGCTCTGGTGCCCAGTGAGGCCCACCCCTGGAGTGTTTCGCTGGTGGAGGTGATTGGGTGGTGCTCCAGCGTGGTCTGAAGCTGTCCGGGGGAGGGGGGGGGGCAGCATGCAGTCTTATCTTATATAACACTAGAGGCCCGATGGATGAAATTAGTGCAAGAGTAGGCCTTCCTTTCCCCGGCTGCCGGCACTGCCTTCCCTCTGGCACCGGGACCCGGGCTTCCCTCGCAGCCCCAGCTTCATCTGGAAGGTCATCCGGAAGGACGTCTGGTCTAATTAGCATATTATGCTTTTATTATTATAGATAACCTTCGCCATGTAGCATAGCCTAA